TTGCTGAGAGAATGTTATTTAACGTTTGGAAATGGAGTCCTAAACTTCAAGAAGAGGAACGCAAAGTTTCAGGGATGAATTAAGACAGGTTTGAAAGATTTCTTAGAACTTAGGACGGAGACAGCTGAGTCTTCCAGAAGGCATGGGATTATGTGTTCATGAACCATACAATCTCACTCTCACCGTTGCTGCTTTCTCTCAAGTCTCAAGAAGTAAGCATTGTTTTTCCTCTCTATGTAGCTGGCAGTAATAAGATCAGTCTTACTTTTCCTCTCACTGCCGCTGCCGGAACCTCCGAACTTTTAGTCAATATCGATTGAAATTTGAAGACAAATCCAATCTGAGATTCCGATTGGCTGGTACACGGCGACACGATATCTTCATGATAGGTGTCTTTCCTTGATTGGGTGGACTCCGAGATTGGCGGAGTGATAAAACAGAAGACTCCGTCCCGGAGAGTAATTCTCGTCGGACGCAGTGGCCCCCGACCGGCATCCTTAAAGTTAGGGAGGAAGAGGAAAGGGGAAAGGACGGAGAGAGAGAGAGAGTCCGAGCCAATCGGTTCTCTTTAGGGTGTGATGAGGGCCTGAAGGCCAGGCGAATGGCGAGAAATAATTGGTTGACCTAAACTTTTGCCAGCTGTCAAATAGGGTAGGAGTAAGTGCGAAAAAAGTGCGGGGACTCCCATCAGTTTCCTGATTTAACTCAAAGAAGACAGTTAGCGTTTCAATTTCCTAATTCATTCATACTAACTAGGAAGCAGCAGTTCTCTTGCTAAATCCGCTTTCTCAACCCTCTTCTTGCAGTTTCCTAATTCAATTATGATTGGAACAATGCCCAGCTACTACTTATATACTAATCACTCACTACAATCAGTTAAACGTTTACCCACGAAGCAGCAGCAGCCCGGAACAAGAACAAGAACAAGAAGAAAAAGAAGAAGACTTTTCCAGGTTAGTTGTTCTTCTTGTCAGTATTGTCTAGGAACTAAGATTTAGACTGATTAACTGATTATTCTGAAATCTCCTACGGAGCTGAAGCTCTGAATATTTTTTTTTTCGCCGTAATGAATGGTTAATCTATGATGGGTCCTTGATATGTAAATGAATATTTGATTTCCGATAGGTTCTGTTGATTGATCATCACCCAATCAAGATGGTTATATTCTTCTTAATGCGAAATTCAAGAATCAGGGGTGGGGTGTGGATAGTTGTTGATTGATCATCACTGTCGATCGATTTCAATGATTTTTTTTTTCCGTAAACTTCTTTAGAAGTTTATTTATGGGATTCAGCAGTAAGTCTAGAATGGGAAATTCGATTGTAACTGCAAAGGCTTGGGACTTGGAGAACTACCGTAAGCAAGGTTTTGTTTAGTACACTGAGAAACTAAACATTAGGTATATGATAAATTTATGAGCTATCTAGCAAAAATAACTCCTAACTCACCACTCTAAACAGAACTTTGCTCATTAGGTATATGATAAAATTATGAGCTTATGTTTGTTTCTCAGTTAATTTCTAGGATTCCCGGGACAGAAGCTCTTCTGTTGTAACCCATTTGTAGAAGTGTATTTTCACGCTCTGTTGTGCTTTCGCACTATCTGAAGTTGTTAAACGATCCATTAAATGGAGTTAGAGTTTCAACTGTAGCAGAAAAATTGATAATGATTCAATTTGGATTTCAGAATCTGTACATTTTAACGTAGCTTATCAATGGGTTGTAAAGCATTGCTCATCCAGGCCCCATCTGAAATTCTTGTTAATAAACGTTGAATATTTATTTCTTCACAGTAACATGCAAATTCAGGGCGTTATTCAATACTATTTTGGTGAATATTTATCTTTTAAATTTATGGTGTCAATTCTAATCTGTTTTTGAATTTATTGCAGGTTATACTCTGTTTCTAGATCCTCCCAAACATGTCAGAAAGTGAGACCAATACAAGCACTTCAGATATTAAAAACATGGGATCTCACGTTTTTTCACCTTCAGATCCTACCCTAATTCCAAGCTATGGAAGCCCTCTTGTACAAAGCAGTGAAGGATTATTTGACCCTTTTAGTATAGGACAAAATCCTTCTTTAAATCAAATATTCAGAGCAAGCCCACAAGAAGACTTCCAATTAACAGATTATTCTAATGGAGAAGCAGCTTTGGATGCCAACTGGCTTTTCTACAATTATATGGGGATTTGGGGAGATTCCGCTTGGTATACCCAGGATGCATTGAATAATGACATAGTGTTGATGGCCAAGCATAAGCAGGGCTGTCAGTTCTTGCAGAACATTTTGATTGGGAAGGACCCATGCGGTACCAAGATAATATTTGAAGGAGTTTTGGAGTGCATTGTTGATCTCATGTCACATCCGTCCGGCAATTATATTTTCCAGAGGCTAGTGGAAGTATGCAGCATTGACCAGTTACAAGAAATTGTGCTCAGAATTACCAGAGAAAGAGGTGCACTCATACATGCTGCAGTCGATCATTTTGGGTAAGAACTTAATCTTGTAGTGTTTTCTGTGCTTGTGCTCATAATATTCTGCTCAATCTGATGGTTTATTGTGTTTGATCAGAACCCGTTCTGTTCAGAAACTCGTAAAGATGACCAAAAAGTTACCGTTGATCACGTATGTTATATCAGCTCTAGCTCCAGGAATACTAGCTTTGATGCTCAACCAAACGGGAAGCCATGTGATCCGTCATTGTTTAGTTCACCTGGATAGTCAGCAAAACAGAGTAAATCTTCTTTTCTTCATTACACATCTGCTTCAAATTTCTCTCTAATTGTCATTGATATTTATAAGAATTAGACTACTAATAAGATTCATGACCTCCTGCTGCTGATCCTTAGTTTGTGTGTGTAAATATCTCACATGCAAACAAATATCAATTTATTATAGATTCTATATAGCCCCCATCAGCTATTCACTGCAAATTTATAACAACATAGTTTATTTCATTTCATGGCAGGTCATATTCGAGGTTGCAGTGAAGTATTGTTTGAGACTGGCCACACATGAACAAGGATGCGTCTCCCTGAACAATTGCATAGACTGCATTAAGGATCCCCATAGAAAACAACTCATAAACATGATCTCAGTGAATGCTGTGCAACTTTCACAGGATCCTTTTGGGTATTCCATCATATTTCCCTAACCCATAAAGAAATATGTTTGATTCCTTAAAGCTCATTTTGTTTGCAGTACAAATTTCATTTGCATTGACATAAATGCATGAGAAGAGTGCAAATCATAATAACAAACAAATAGATGCAAAACTGAAGCATGTGCAAAATTTGTATTCGGTCCAAATTTGCAATGCAAACAAACAGAGCCTAAAGAACTTTCCTTCAACTTTCTGTTTCTCTTATTTTCTATCAAACCGAGCACAACAGAGAATGGATATGAAGAAAAAGAAAAACTCAATTTCCATCTTAGTTGAAGATGCCAACTGCCTTGCTTGTAAAATCTCCATTTGGTTGTAGTGGAGGCTTGTAATCAGTTCCCACCTTCATCAGGTTGGGGCTTTCAGGTGAGTTCACATCTGCTGCAACCATCAACCCTCCAATGAATCATGAACATGCCAGCAATGGAAATAAATTTATTGGGGGCCTTAAGAGAGTGCTATGACCATGGTTGCCAGGGTATATGCTCTCGGTTGGGCTTATTCACTCATCTAAGTTTGTGGTTTCCTGCAGGAACTATGTTGTCCAGCGTGTCCTAGCACTCCAAAACCCAGAATTTACTAAGATTATATGCTATCAACTTCAAGGCTATTATGTGCTTCTCTCAATGCAGAAATGTGGGAGCCATGTTGTAGAGAAATGCTTAAAATCTCCTTGGATATCAAATATTGTCAATGAGTTTCTAGCCAATGACAAACTAGTCCAGCTTGCTCGGGATCCATTTGGAAACTATGTCATACAAACAGCACTCAAGTACACAAAGGTTTTTTTTTTTTGTTTAATATTTATCTGTTTATCTGTTTTTGCTTGATATTATAGTTATCCCACAGTTTGAACAAGACCTGATTGATTTGGTGCCCAGCATTCAAAATAAACCTGGTTAATTGAATATCAGTCATTTGAGGGATGGATTCTTCTATGGAATTCAATTTGACCAATGATCCAGATGAATGTGAGAAATCAGATGATATGATCATGCATTCATCTTGAGTTGTTTACCCACCACAAAGAACTCCTGCCTGGGACCCTGCCACCTACATATAAATTTGTTTCGATTAAATTTTGAATTTCCCCGTTCAGTATAAAATTACATTAACTGCATGCTGGTCTAAAATAACTTTTTTTTCTCATCATTTGGTCAGGTTATGCACTATGGCCTGTATCAGCTTCTGGTGATTGTACTCCAACCTCATCTGTCGGATCTCCAGTACCATCCAAATGGAAGGAACATATTCAAGTTTATCAATGGTAGCATTTAAGTTAAATACTGGACAGTATAACCTTGGATGGAGACAAGTTCTATCAAAAACATGTTGCAAAATCTTGTTCGTTTTTTTCTTGGCTGGGAGGTTTTTTTTTTTTGTTATTTGAATGAACACTGTGTCTACTGTCTGTAGTTTAGGGTATTTGGAAGGGGGGGGGGAGCGCGTTATGCTTCAGTTCATTGGAGTTTGCAGAGAATCAACTCTGTATGTAGATGTACACTATGGCTTTCAACTCTTTGTTTGTTCCTACCTAGTATGTTTCTTTATTATAATACAGAGCTGTCTGATCCTCTTCTTTGTACATTATTTTGCTCTGAGGTTAATTTGTAGTTGCAGTGCTTTCCACTTTTTCAACTTTTCATATTCTACTTTGTTGAAGAAATTTATTGTCCAAGCTTGTAAGCTCAGATGCAACCTTATAAGTTTCCATGATATGATTTTGAGGTCGTATAAAATCGCAAGGCTGCGTTTGAAAACGATGCAAATGGAGTGTAAATCCCGGTTCAGGGTAATTTTGCACTCTATTTCACTTCTGCCTGTGTTTGGCAACATTACATTTATGCATTGACAAATGATAGACCAATGCATATTTACATTGATAATAAGATGTAAAAGTACATCAATAAAAAAGAAGCAAATTTGCAATCAAGTGGGCTTTTGAATTTTGATAAAAAAAAGCATATGCTTTTTTGAAATTCATGTTTGCATCTATTGCCATGTGGATTGGTCGAGGGCAACGAGGTAAATTCACTCTTCAGGTTTCAAGTGTTAGCCGAGGACCTCGGGGCCTCGAAAGAAATTGACTGAAGCCGAGAACCGCAGGTCGAGGTGAAGTATTCCTTTCGAGGACTATGGTAGCCGAGGACTGCAAGTCGAGGCGAAGTCCCTGGTGATCAAAGATACTACAAGACAAGGAGTGTCAGAGGCCTCGAGGTGGATACCCGAGGTAGAGGCTCCGATGCTCAAGTTAGTACGAGGTGTAAAGCAGGGGAGAGTGCAAAAGAGCTCCTAGAGAGAGTCCTCGGATGCACCAGATCTCCCTAAATTAATGCTAGGTAGACAATATAGGTGCAGGAAGTAAATGAGTGAGTGATCTTGCAGTTACTCCATTCCAGCCCCTTTTAAGGGGTAGTTACTTCTTTTTTATACTTGAGCGTGCTAGGGGTAGGTGAAGATGAACGCCCCGGATGAGGGCCATACGAAGTCAGGCTGTAGACCCTGGCGGGTATGCCAGATAGCTATGTGATTGGTTTCGTACGGAGGCAACAGGGCTCCCTAATTGTTGTTGACGCTAGCAGGCGTTAGTGGGCTAGGCATCCCATTCCTATATGGGTTGGGCCAAGCTAACCCACATCACTTGCCCCCCACTCCCGAGATCGAGGTGAGGCCTCGGCTTTTTCCCGTAATGAGGGTAGTAATCGAAGTAAGGCTTCGGCTTCGGTCATTGGGAGTAGTGGTTGTTATGCCTTCGGATTCGTCAGCCGAGAGATGTCCTACAGTGGCATCATTTTCGTTGTTCGTGTCGTCCCTCTTTAGTTCGGAAGCGCGAGTGATGTGGATGCCTYGGCTTGGCGGGGGTGTCCCGTATCACGCACAGGCAGGTAACATTAGCGGGGCTACCGTGCAAGGGACGACCATCCCAGGAGTCCAGTGTTTGCCGGGTTGAACAGTCCACCCGGTGGTCCATGATGAGTGGGCCTTTTTGGTTCGCTTGGCAAGTTACCGCGGGCGATCTTCGCAGTCCACCCGACGTTGTTTTGCCTTCCAAGAGCATGTGCTAGGAGGTGTAGTGAGACTGGTTCGTAGGAGCGGGGTGCTCCCGCATCCGTTGGATCTGCGTCGATCTAAACTATTGCTTTGGGCATCGTTTCGTCTCCCGAGGGCATGTGCCAAGGTGTGGTGGGACAGATTCACAGGAGCGGAGAGCTCCCGCATCCGTTGGATCTGCGTCGATCTGAACCGTTGCTTTGGGCGTCATTTCGTCTTCCAAGGGCTTGCGCTAGGTGGTGCGTCACAGTTGGATGGTGGAAGCGGATTTGTTTCAGCCGTCGGATTTGGAGAAATCCAGGTCATTCATTTTCTTTTAAATAGGGGCCCTAGTAGTGATTTTCTTCTCCATTTGAACTTAGACGCCCTTGCTCTCGAGTGAACGCAACTCCCCAACTCTCAACTCTCCAGAACTTTTCTACTTCTTCCATTCTTCGGGACATTTCGCCCTCTCTTAGGTAATTAGAACATGTCATTTTCAAACTTTGGTCCTGAGTGCCATGAATTCCCGAACATCTCGATAGGGATCTCTCCTGCAACCCCCTATCCCCTGCCTTCTCTAGGTTCTTTAGTCGTAGCCCCCCTTTGATGGGAGGTGACCATTTTGAGGGAGAGGTTAACCTCAGGGGGTGTCGAGGGAAATCCCCAGGGAAAGGACTCTCCCCATGAAAGCATCGCCTCGGTGTCGCCAAGGGAACCCGAGGGGTCTTCTCTCTCCGAGGATGATGCCGTGGAACTCGTCGCCGGACCAGTGGGAGGGAGTGCTATCCGAAGGGTGGCTGACACTGATGTCCCACGTTCGGAGTTTGACAGCTCCTTAGACGTGTGCCAAGTCAAATCCTTGGCGAAGAGGTTCCACATACCCCGGTCTTATAACTTGGGGGTCCCCGACGTAGGCGATAGGCCGTGGGCCCCCGAGGAGGGGAAATTTGTATCTACCAGCATTTTTTAGAGTCTGGCCTTAGGTTTCCCCTCCCAACCTTAATCTCTAAACTACTGGAGTGGTACGGCATCACTATTAGCTAGCTCGTACCCAACGCCCTCAGGACCATCGTGGCAATGATGGTGTGGGCTCGGCTCAGGGGCGTGGAGCTGACGTTGAGACTGTTCTGTGCCATGTTCATGCCGAGGAAGCATGGTTCTGAGGCCAACATGTATTACTTCCACTCGAGGAGGGGGAAGCCAGTGCATAACCCCTTGTCCATTCATAGGTGGAAGGACAAGTTCTTCTACATCTTCTGCCCCGAGGGCTAGCGTTTCAGGTCCGACTGGGGGGAAGCCTACATCATCGTCGAGAGATGTCCCCCACCACTCCGAGACAAAGAGGCTGCAACTGTAGCTCACCTGCTTGTGATGGGGACATTCCAGGCGAAGCCGTTGGTGGAGGAGGAGGTCCCCCTAGTCTTCGCTAGGATTAGCCCAGCCCCCCTCGGTAGGAGAGGTTCTGTGGTTAGTGCATCTTCCATGTTCTTTTCTTTTTCGCTAATGTGCTAACTACTTTCCTTTGTTGTTTCACAGAAGTGCCAATGGATTCCAAGGAACGTTTGTTGGCAAAGGCCTGGGGAGAGCAGGCTGGGAAGAAAGTCATAGGACAAACGCTAAAGAGGCCCGACGATGAAGCTGCCCCTGCCGTGGCACCAAAGAGGACCGTTGAGGCTGAAGAAGCCCACCACCGGGGGAGAGGCACTGAAGAGTCCTCTGAAGGGGCCTGAGGCGGGTAGGAAGAGGCCCGCTGCTAACATGCCGAGAGAGGAGTCCCCGTAGAAGCTTGCCAACACGAATAGGCAGGCCGAGGAGGTGGTGCGGAGGTCCACACTTGGGGAGTGCCCATCCGGGCCTTCGTCAGCCCCTCCATCAGTACAAGTTGTCTCTGAGAGGACCGAAGGGGATGGTAAGACCTTCCACCCCCAATTGCAGCTCCGAGAGGGGGGCTCCATTCGTGACGAGGGGGTCAGTAGGAGCTGGTTAGCATATCCATCCTGCCGAGGGATCGCTACCGCCTTCTACAAAGCGACCCCAAGTCCATTTACGATGAGGGCTTGTACCATTTGGCCAAGGTAAGACGGTCTTCCATATTTCATCATGTATATATTTTTATTTTTTATTTTTGCTGATCGGTTTTGTGGCAGGCCTGTCTGCACTTTGTCGGTTTGGGGGACCAAACAAGACTGGCCATGGGTCGTGTCGACAAGGCAGAGAAGGAGAAGGCCGCGAAGGTGAAGCTCTAGAGGGAAGGGAGAAGCTCCAGAAGGCAACCGCCGCTGCCAAGGATAAGCACCAGAAATTTCGAAAAGCGCTTCTGGAAAAACAATCGCTTCAGGAGCGCCTTGAGGCTTAGCTGAAGGAGGCACGTCAAGGGCTCTCCAAAGAGCAAATGGAGCGGGTGCAACTGGAAAGCATTGTCATAGAAATGGAGAGACGAGCTGTCGAGGCCGAAAAGAAGGCTGCCAAGGTGGAGGCGAGGAGGTGTACAAGAAGCCTTCCGACTACCTGGATGCGTTGGCGGAGTATGCTTCATCGTCCTACCTCGACGGTATTGAAGATACCAAGAAGGCACTCCTACTGGTGTTGACAGATTTTGATGTCGAGAGATTGCAAGTGATCCTTGATGCTCTTGCCGAGGCTTACCCAACCGAAGAAGTTGTTCCCCCTCCTGCCAATGACGAGGCGCAGGCGTAGACTTCCCCCCCCCCCCTTTTTTATTGTTGTAATACTTGCCATTTGTTTTGTTTTGTTTTTTTGAAGGCAATACAAAATTTTTGTAAAGGCTATACAAGACCAACACTGAATAGTGAATGAAGCCATTTTTTGTGTGTACTGTGTTTCGTGCATGTTGTCTCTTCCCTTTTCTCTTTCTCTCTCTCTTTTTTTTTTGTGAGAGGTCTTTGCCCCTCCGAAAGGTTGAAACCACGATACACAAGGCACACACGATTCACTCGTAGTATTTGTTTATTTGCACGCTCATCTCGGCTTGTCGGGATATTGGGAGCCGAGGTGGAGTCATACATCCGAAGCAGGGCTCGCCTGGCTTCCAAATCCCGTGCTATCCCAAGCAAGGCCAAAGAGACATGGCACCCTAACTGAAGTCTAGGGCCGAAGTATACCGCCGAGGTACTTGGGTGGATGAAGAGCCACAGCGGAGTAGCACCATCGGGGTGCAGCTCCCCTGACTCATTCTTACCAAGTGTTTTCTCAGGGGAGGCCAAGGCTTCCCACCGGCAAAGCCGAGGGCTCTGTCTCGTTATTTTCTTTGCGCTAAGTGTAGATAGCTGAGGGGGTCACCACGCTCTGAGGTGACGAGGTGACTTGGTGAGGTGAAGAGGAACTTTGCTTCATTCATTCATTCATTACTTTCATCAAAAAATTACATTCATCTGAAGTACATCTGGAGGTTCTCCGAGTTCCACGTCCGAGGGATGGGTCTTCCATCTAAGTTTTCCAGCCGAAATGTGTCGGGGCCGAGAGCTTGCTTAATCCAGTTGGGGCCCATCTTCCCTTCTCCAGGTTCAGGAACCATGACCTTCCTGAGGACAA